CAAAATTTTAAAAGGCTTTGTTAACTTGGCATTTCCAGTACCTCCGCCAAAATTTCGAATCCCCATTAAATTTAGCTTCACCAGAAAACGCTCTTTTTATTCCTTATTATAATATAATCCCGACTCGCTTTATACAGAGCGTCCCAATAAACTTTTTATTGTCCGGAAAGTTTGCAATAGAAATTGATCGAATCGAGGACTTCTCCCGCTGTTTAGAGGATGTTCCGGGCTCGTCGATATAGAGCGATAAATGGCGCGCGACCGATGGAAGCTCCCGATTATATATTATAGTTCTCGATAGCGGAATTTCCGCAAGTTTCGAGTGTATAGGGGAGTTAAGCCGGCGACGGAGTTGCTAAACCGTAACTCGGAATTTTAGGAACAATTCGTCGAAAACTTATTAATAACCTTATCCAGGCGATGTTCCAGGACGCACCTTTCCTTTTCTGAAAGGGGAACACTCCGCAACTCCGGATAAGAGGGGTGCATTAGGGAGATTATATGTATAGTTTATGGATTGGAATCGTTATCGGGCTAAACAAGTGAGGATTGATTCGATTCAAAGTTATATAAACTGAATATGAAATGAAACTCGCTCATTTTTTTATATAAAAACCAGTGTCAAATTATTTTGCTCACCCTGTAAAAACCGCCCAAATTATTCACCTCCCCATGTATTTCACGCGCTTAGAAATTCGTTAATATTATTCCCCCCAAAAAAAAATAAATACATCGAACAAACTCCCCCAAATTATTCGAAACAGCCAAACAGCTCAAACTCGGAGGCCTTTTCCTTCGCATTCACGCGGTTAATTTTCTAACAAACTGTTATAAGCCAAGTCAAACAATATTATTTAGTTTGCGCGATAATTTTAGTTTAATGCGGTTACTTTAACACCCCAGACAAAAGTTTTCTAATTGCATACGAAATGGTTACGCGTATATATCTCCAATTTAAACCGCATAACTTCAATTAACAATTAAACAACCGCCAAGAAAATACACAAACTGACGTATTAAAAAAAAACTTAATTTGACGTTTGACATTTGACACGTTTGACATGTTTGACGCTAAAATAACGTAATGTAAAGTTCCCGCGATGAATTTCGCGGAAGTTTCAGCAATAATGAATGAAGCGTTTCGTTAAATAACATATCCTCATTAAAATAATGAATAATTTAAGCTTCACTTTCGCCATTACCGGTGCCGTTTTACGTTGCTAAATTTTAGGGGCTCGCGTATGTTATTTTAATTACGAACGGGAAAAGTTAACCCAGCCTTTAATCTTCGCAATGATACCGCTACACTTTCGAATTATCTTGTATGTCTAGCGAATTAATATTTAGCTAGGCGAATCCGGTCTAATTGGCGAGGGAATTTGCTCGAAAGTCGCCGGATAAATTAATTCGAAACCAATTAAAAATCCCCCGCGAAGTTTCGCGGAAAATAAAAAATAAAATATTAATCTAGTTAGGTAAGTTATCATCGACAGGTCTTGGAAGTTTTTTCGATTTTTTTTAGAGGGATTTCCGGATTTTTCTACAAAAAAATCGCGGGTAATTATACAGGGTTAGTCCACCCCGATGATCTCGATATTAAAATAACATAGAGTACTCGAGCATCCCAAGAATGAGAGAAATGACTCTATATAATTTATTAAAATTCATCGGTATATCATTTAAATCGTTTTGCGCCAGGGTAAATATAATTTGAAACATTTTTGCGTTCACATACGATTAAAATAATGAAATATTACAATGCCATCGGGCCCGCGACCGCATCCCATTAGCGGGGCCTAGGTGAGGCGACTTTGACTGGCAGTTTAATCTAACTGTTACAGTTTTAATTACCGTCTGACGGCGCCCCAAATTGAACAACTTCGATGAATTAATCGGCGCAAGTAATTCAATTTTATCGAATAAATCGAGATTTATACCGGGTCGGCCCGACGCCGCGATCATATAGGAACAACGCGTGTGCGAGAAAGAGAGGTTATATTCGAGGTGTAGGGACATAGGGAGAGAGATTTCGAATTGTTTTGGACAGTTTTAGGATAGTTCGAACACTGTTTAGAACTGTATGTAGACAAAACTCAACGCTTCAATTTTCATATTCACATTTTCTTTCGTAACTTCTAAACTACTTGAGCTATAAATTTCATTCTGAGCTCAGTTTGTAGAAAAAAGTCTACGCTTCAATTTTCATATAAATTTTTTATTTCTACTTTTAGTATTTATCGAGATATAACGCACACAACATTCGATAGTAAAATTTTACAATAAAACAACGACACCTCACATTTTCTTTCATAACTTCTAAAATACTTGAGCTAGAAACTTCATTTTAAGTTCAGTTTGTAGAAAAAACTCTACGCTTCAATATTCATACCTATTTTTTATGTTTACATTCAGTAGTTCTCGAGATATAACGCACACAACATTCGAGAGTGAATTTAGAACTGTTCACAATTATTTAGAACGAATTCGGAACGATTCAGGATAAACTGCAAATGTTTAGAACCATTTAGAAACTTTTAAGAACTATTTAGAACTTTGTTTTTAGAATATATCAATCGAAAAATGTACGTGTTTAACCCAGTTCCTCCGCCAAAATTAAAAGTTTCCATTATGAGAAATTGTTTTAAGTCCTAAAGAGAAACGTTATTATATGAATAATTTTAAAGTTTCCCATAAAACTTGCGCGGATTTGCGAGCGTTCTAAATTTATTGTTTTCAAATATCCAAGGAAGCGACTCAAATTTAGTACAGATATCTTTTATTACTCCATAAAAATGTTGCAGCTTTGCATTAAACAGAAGCATGAAAAGTCGAAAGGTTAGAGATGGAAGTGAAAACTAATAAATGAACAAAGTGTATAAATTATTGCATTAAACCGGGATGTTATTTAATCATACACTAATTACATTTTTTTCGACGATTTTTAGGAACTTATAAATTTATATTTGGAAAGTTAGTCAATTTTTTTAGTTGAAAAATTGTGGATACTTTCCTTGGTTTTTAAAAAATGTTCTAAATAATCCTGAAGGCGTTCTAAATGGTACTAGACTGCTAGTTTATCTTAGACAGTTCCAAACAGTCCAGAATCTGTTCTGTTTTGCCTATTGATCCTAGTCAGTTCTAAAATGATTCTAAATGATAATGAACAGTTCTAAATAGTTCTAAGATCGTCTCGAAGATCCCATATAAAATGAACTCTTTATAATCGCTAAAAACACTGATGAAGCAGGTGCAGAAAAAGTTATAATACAAAAAAATATATATTAATCATTTATCATTTTAACGCTACATTAAATTCATGCTAGATAAAGACGCGGCTGTCAAAACCAAACAGGCGAAATCCTTTTCCAGAAACGAACGTCTTGCCGGGAAATTCCTCGGGAAATTTACGAGGACGAATTACGAATAGAATATACGTTTGTTACAGAAGCTCAAATTGACGTGTTTTCTAATGAGAAACGGAGGAAATTATATCGAAGGAAATTCACTGTTATATTCCTTTAATCAAATATAACACTAGTACATCTACAGGGTGTCCGATGTTATGTATATATCTACTTATTTTAATAGGTGATTCTTGGGGATCCTTTAAAAAACCAGTGACGTACCTAAGCACCTAATTTTTTAGATAAAATCAACCTATATGCACGCCACTGGTTAAAATTAAAAAAAAATGTGAAATTTCGGAAAAAACATGCGGTAAAAAGTATCGAATTCGCCACTTTACAATCCTTACAAAGCTATATTAGATCCGGAGAGAGCCATATTAGATTTCGAGTGGCTTTCGCCGCCTTTGAGGATACTTCAAGTGAGATGTTCGGGAGAACCGAAAGTGGGAGTATTCGCAAATAAGCGCCCCCTACCGGGGGTGATGTGATATCACCGCGTTTAATATCTATACGGCACGCGCGGGGACGTGGGAAGATATTTGAATAAGTTTTAATTAACGAAATGGCAAATGAACTCTACCAAGTTATGCGCGGTTTTCAAGTTTAACTCGTTCTCCAATTTATCTATTTTATTCACTACATTGAACGTTGTTATAGTCTGATTTGCTAGGAGGTACAGGAGAGGTGAAAATTTGCACGATTTGGGGACACCCTGTACTATATAAATATCCTCAAATGAACGAAATTTAAAATTCCCAATCGCGCGCCATCAATCATCGAATTTCCACAAACTCGTTGATAATAATGGGATTTTAGACACGTCTCACGCAGTGATATCAGAAATGAGCCCTGTACGAATATACATGACATGTCGGAAGGCTCAGAACGCTGAGTAATATCATGTGATAGTGTATATAACTTTCGAATTACCTACACACGACAAAAAGGTTGATGTGCATGCACGTCAACCCGAATAAACGGGAAATTCGCACATTAATCACGTGTACATGTCGGATTTATTCCACCGAAAAATTATGTAGATTTCAAAAAAAATCCATAGCTCATGAGGAGGAGGAATGTATAACATTGCAACGTGGTCAATTCTATGAGTAGAACAAAGATAGGTTGTAGAAGTGTATACAGCGGTGAGAGTGAGAAGGTCGCCACTAAGGAGCCAACTTCACGCCGGTTAAAAGTAACAAAATGGCATTTAAAGTGTCAAAAATACAAAATCGAGAAATTAGTCGAAAAAATTGAATACTTACCTACTTGTTTAAAATTTGTTTGCACCATCTTCTTGCACCCCATTGCAATTGTGCAATTCTTCACCATTCTTGTATAACATGCCTATACAGAAAAGTAGGATGAAGAAATAATTGCGGGTAAGTTAGCAATATAATGAATTCTTCGAGTTTAACAAAGAACGATTATAAATATTAAATATAGCAGTGTTTATATCATGAGCCAACTTCATGCCGGTCGAAACTAACAAAAATGGCCGAGTTTTTAAACTGTCAAAACAAAAAAAACGAGAAATATCTTACCAAGCACTTGGAATATTCAAAAATAGACGCAAAATACGGAAAAAAAAATGCTCAATAACGAATTTAATATGAAAACAACTACATATACACACTTTAATCTACTTCACTAAAATAAACGCCATTTACAACGAACTATAATTCTTCTATTTTTTTTTTAATACGAAACTTGCAAAAATATTCAAACGACTTTCGGTTCGATGCAATTGCTGTCCCCTTCTCGGCTGCCCATCCTCTTCACTCCCACGGAAGCGGCGCAATGGTTGAATCTCCAGGAGTAGTCGCTGCCGAAATTGGGGCGCTCGCAACTCGCCCCGAACAAGTGGATGGCCAGCCGGTCTTTGCAGTCGAATTTCCCGTCGCAGTTGCAGTCCTGCAACAACACCAAATTAGCGAGATACTCGCGCGGTTAAACGAGTAACCGAATGGTACGAGGCCGGAGATTAGCGCCCTTGTTTGGGCGGGTAGCCGAACAGCAAGAGGCCGCGTTTTTATCCCTGTCAATCTCTGAACGATTTCGTTCGATAGAAAAATTTTTTGAATGAGTGTTTTTGAATCAGTGAATCAATCAACATCTCTCCCAACTTTATTCGGATATCTATACAAAAAGAAATCAATACACTACATTAAGAGCATTTCTATCAACAAAATTAGCTGGGTATATGCGATGCTTTTCTAAATAACTCCCGCCCTGGGTTGTATTCTTTTGTAACAGCCGGAGCCCCCTTCCTGCTCCAGCATGTCCTCTACTCCGATACTTCTCGAGCATTGGTTGAAGCGACCAGCGAAGCCCGCTCCGAATTTCGGACTCAAACAAAAGATGCCGCTCAAATGTATGGCCGCCCTGTCTTTGCAGTCGAATTTCCCGTCGCAATTGCAATCCTGGAAAAATCCTGGTATTTTTTGGAATCGTTTGGAACCGTTCAAAACTGTCCGCGGTGCTGTTCCGAGATCGTTTCGAACCGGTTTGGGATTGACTAGGGTCATTTAGAACTGTTCAAAACTGTTCGGAGCTGTCTAGGATTCTTTAGAACCGTTTTGGAATTGTCTAGAATAATTTAGAATTGTTTAAAACTCTTTGGAGCTGTCCAGGATTGTTTAGATCCGTTTTGGAATTGACTAGGATCATGTAGAACTGTTCAAAACTGTTCGGAGCTGTCCAGGATCGTTTAGAACCGTTTTGGAATTGACTAGAATCATATAGAATCGTTTTGGAACAGACTAGAATCATTTAGAACTTTTCAAAACTCTTTGGATCATTTAGAACCATTTTAGAATGGACCAGGATAATTTAGAACTGTTAGAACTGTTCAAAACTGTTCGGAGCTGCCCTGGATTGTTTGGGACCGTTTAGGAATGGATTAGGTTCATTTAGAGTTGTTTGAACTGTCCAGGATCTTCTAGAATTGTCTAGGACCGTTTAGAACCGTTTTATCTCTCTCGCCTCTCGTTTATACTGTATGCTGATTAGAAAATGCAAAGAAAATTCGACTGATGTCGATAATAGCCGAATGAAATTCATTTCGCCCAGCATGGACGCGCCGGGATAGGCGGAAAAACTACGGGAAATTCAATTACATTCGCATCCCCGCGGAATTTTCATTGCAAAGTTCAAAGCTTTCGGTCTTTATCCTTCGACGAAACGAATGGAAATAACGTAAAATAATGAAAAGCGCGATGAATAAATGCGCTTTGCAAATTTTTAAGCACACTATACGGATTGTACTCGTCTGAATATATTTTGATTTTTTTTAAATTTAAAAGTATATAGAATTTTTGCATTTTAAAATGCAATTCAACTGCTCGCTGGTTTTAATTGAATTGGGACAGTCTGTATAAATGTAGTGAGAAGTCTCGACGTTTCATTATTAATTCAACGGCGTTTTTTCTTTATTGTTTTAATGAATGGGATATTTTTGCAGAGTAATAAGTAATTAAAAAAGTAATAAATAAAAATGTTCTTTTTTAGTATTATTTTTTTTTGAATGCGCTCACTCGAATAAATTAAAAGCGAAGGAAATGGAATTAAACTGTGCACTTTGTATGATTGCTTAAATATTGTAACAAAAATAGATTAAAATTAATAAATAAATTTTTAAACTGATTACTCAATAATTGCTCAATTACAAGTGGATCTATTCAGATACTAAAATTGAACAAAGAAAGATTATTAAAATAACAGTGGTTAGAGGTTAACAGTGGTTAGATCACTCTTTCTTTTTCCTTTACATGAGACTAATAGAATTTGTCTTTGTCGCACTCATAGCCTATATTGCAAAAAATTTTGCATCTACCTGTATCTATACAATTGCATAAAATTTTCAATTACTGTACTTTCTTTACTATTTTTTCTATTTTTTTTTTCCAGTGACGCGGAGCTTCCGATTTTCCCCGCCAGGATTCGAATAAATTAAATTCCGTGAGTACACAGTTTTTTTTTTGATGTCTTAAACTTAAATATAAAGGATTCGTGTAATCTTTTGTTAGCGCGAAACAATGCGAAAATACGGCCAAACTAGAGAAGTGAAATTGGAAAATTCTCAAACAACTCCTTTGGAAAAACAAACCTAATAAAACACTGTTCTCATAAAGAAAATCTAACACTCACGAACCCATTTAACAATATATACAGACTGTCCCAGAATAAGAGCTAAAAAAACAATCACGCATACTGAGGATTCACATTTACCTACTCAAAAATATTTCCCAGATAAGTGTATAAAATCAAGCACGCGTTAAATTTTCGAAACCTCTTCTTCTTCCTAATATAAACCCTCTTGCTCTTCGCGCAACCGGCCAACTCTAACAAAAAAATTCTACTCACCAATTCACCAAATTGCTGGGTGTATTGAATAATGGTGCCCACTATGCAATTTTCGTCCTTCATGCACGCATTGTAGCTTTCTACATTGTTCGGAGGATCATCCAGATTCACCACCAACGATCCCGCTTCTTTCCAGTAATTGAAATTTATGGAATATTTGGCGCAATTCTGCCTTATCCAACAGCCGGACCTGGCGTGACAGAGACACTTTACGCAGGGGTACATAGGGTGCTGTTTCCAATCTTTAATTGCTGGAATTTTTAATTAATTGACTTAATTAATGGATTGATACATTGATGATGGTTGATGCATTGATGGTGGATTGATGCATTGCCATAGATTGATGCATTGATGATGAATTGATAGATTGAAGAAGTGATGGATTAATGAATCGATGACTCAATGAATTAACGATGAAATTAATGAAGTATACACTAATTTAATTAACGTATAATGAAATTGTACATCAATTTAGACGAATTTAGAAACATTTTATCGAATTTAACCGACTAATATCAATCAGTTTATTACGCATGTGGAATTTTCGCAATTTATCTTTCGCAACATAATATACCTCATTAACGAAGCTGCTCTAATTAACGCGAATAATACACCGAGCAAGGCGCTAATTTGGATTAGTTATGACGGCGTAAAATAATTAATTGCGCGTAGAATAGGCGAAATCCATATCCTGAATAAATATGCTGTTCGATAGAGAATTGAATATTGCTTACCTTCAGATTCGTAGAGAAAAAGGGCCAAAACAAACAAACAAAGCGCGAGTTTCATGTTTGTATCTATGAGAATTTACTTGCAGCAAAATCGAACGAATTTAATCAAAAAGTATGCAGGGAACTACTTTATATTACGAATTTTCGTTGTAAAAAAGTAAGATAAAACTGCATGATGATAAGTATACAGGGGTAATTCAATAAGTACCTAAGAAGAGGTCATGAAAAATTCTCTTCGCTTTCACCCCGTATTATTAATTCGCTCGATTGTAAATATAACAACGTATATAAGTATGTCGTTAGATGCATTTTCTAAATTCCCCTATTCTCGTGTATAAGAGTTTTCGAATTCTATCTCGTCTCGTCTCATCTACAACGGGTCCGTAAATAATTTATATAAGGAACATGCGACGTGGGAGAGATGCAGGCGAATTATATGCGGGAAATATGCGGTGAAATATGCGGTGTAATAACCGGGCGTATATTTAATAATTTTTCAAACTCCCCTCGTTTTTTCTCCCGGTTTAATTTCGAACTGGGATTTCTGAGGTCACATAGATCGAAACCTCCGACAATGTATTTGTTTGTTATTATTAAAAAGATAGCAATAATGTTGATACGTTTGGTTTTCCCGTGAATTTTGATTGCATGACTCAGGAATTTATTTACTGAATGAAAATCGATGATAATGTACGCAAAAAAAACGTTATTGGTAAACAATCCGAACTGACGTCATCGGGTATCAAACAATCGACACAAGTGACTTGTGAGCTGTCAAAAATTGACGTTAGATCACGGTCGTATAATTCTAAGGTCTGGAAACATACAGTGCGAAAAAGTGTACCGTTATTTGAAGATAAAACAGGGTTCCTATACAACAGGGATGTTGTAAAGGATCACGGTTTTTTTTTTGCGTACGAATTATATACAGATTGCTTCATAGACCGCAACATAATCGTTTCTATGAGTTGAACAAAGAAAGAATAATAAAATAACAGTTGTCAGAGTGAAAAGTTTTAATGACACAAATACGTCACTAATGGAAGTTGTCTCTATCGCACCTATAACCTAAATAACCTATGTTGCGATCTGGAATGAAGTACAGTGTACTAGAATTAGCATTAAGAAAGGTTTTATTCAAACTAAAAATAGATATAAAATATAAAAATATAACATCATGCCTCACGTAACTTCGATTAATGTATTTCCCCATTTTCTCATCGAAATGTCAAAAAATAATTTTTGAAGTTTTGACAGCTCGAACTGTCATCTGACAACCGCGATTTATATCTAGCTCGGCTCTGATTGGCTGAAATAATTTGATCGCTATCTGGAGGTGTGTTACTACTAAAATTACATCGGATTTATTTTCACGATTATTAATTCGCAGTGTGCGTTCTTCGCTAATATATTTTGATCAACTGCCGATCGTAAATTTCTATTAGAAGCGCCACGTTAAGTACCGTTGCACCGTAAAAATGCGACTTTTGCTCCGTCGTTCACGTAGGAAAATCCCATAAAGACCGGTCGTTGGGCAGAAGAAAACGCCCGCACGAACCTACTTTATCGTTTGCCCGTAATATAAAATACCCGCCCGTTACAGGGTGATTCTTTATTAATGAAAATCTCAAAATGATTGAATTGGACTTACGTATACCGGGTCGGTTCTTTTTCGAACTGGTTTAGGATTGTTTTAGAATCGTTTGGAAACCGTATAGAACTGTCCAGAATCGTTTTAGAATTGGTTAAGACGGTTTGGAACAGTTCTGGGCGATCTTAGAAGCGTTTAGAAATGGTTAAAAATCACTTAGAACCATTTTAGAATCGACTGGAACAGTTTGAAACACTTCAAAACGATCTTGGAAACATTTAGAACTGTTCAGAAATAATTTAGAACCATTTTAGCTCTGACAAAGACAATTTGAAAGAGTTCAAACCATTTAGAACTGTTCAAAATACTTTAGATTCATTTTAGAATTGATGAGGAAAATTTGAAAACAATTCAGGATTTTTCTAGAACTGTTTAGAATTGACCAGAATTATTTTAGACTTGACTAGGATCATTTGAACAACATAAAGACGAAAGTCATGATGTATTTAGAACCTTTTTAACTGTCCAGAATCATTTATTCCAGAATTTATAATTGTCCAAAAAATATTAGAACCATTTTAGACTGAACTGGAACCGTTTAAAACAGTTTAGAATTTTGCACAGAAACGAGGACAATTTGAAACAGTTCTTAGAAATGATCTTAGAATCGTTTAGAACTATCTACAGAATCAGGACTGGTTTGGAAGGGTCCAGAATACACCAGAACAGCTCAGAACCATTTAGTGCGTTTGGAATTGTAGAATTGTTTAGAACAACCCTGTAGAAAAATTTGTGACAATCCGTCAATCAATGAAGTGAATGATGTAAGCAGAAAAGTCAAGGCGACTTTTTACGGGCCGTTATCGAAAAACGTGATGTTAACGGGACAAAAGTTTCCTTCCTGAGATTCCTCCCTAAATAGCCCATTCAGGCTTCAAAACCCTTCTCTCGATATTCTTCCTTGCGTTTTGTATACAGCACTCGCTCGAGTTTCGTTTCGTTGCAGATTTTCTAAAGTTACGTAAAAATAACGTCACGCTATCTTGACGTACACGTCAACACATATTATAGACGATTTTGTCGAATAATAGCGTTAAAAATAGCGTTACGATATTACTAAAATCGATAGAAAAAAGTAAAATATAAAATATCGTTACGCTATTTTAACGTATACGTAAAACGTATCATTAGACGATTTTGTCAAATAATAGCGTTACGATATTACTAAACTCAATAGAAAAAAAGTAAAAAAATAGAATACCGTTAACGCTATTTTAGCGTAAAATACGTCTTCGAAAATCTCGGCGTAAAAGCCCATGAAGTGGCGGTAATTTCGTGCGTAATTTACCGCTTATATTACTCGAACTTGCGCGCTTTTATTTCCTTTTTTTTCATATACCTACATCAAGGATAATTTACGAAGGACCTTTTACTTTCCGGGATCAGCGGGTACAACTTCTGGATAAAAATTCATAAAAAGGAAAACTCGACTGCAAGTTTTATAGTCCGAGGATAATAAAAAAAGTTATTCTATTTAAGATTCGAATCGCGTGTACAGGGTGTCCCAAAAAAGTTGGTCGTAATATCCGTGGTTCATTTGAACAGAAACGAAGTGTAGAATAGTAGACATTATAAGGCGCTATTTAAATAGGAATTCCCGGGGTCCGGATCTGCATCAGCGATTCGGAATATTGCGAAAAAAATCGTTTAATAATCAAATTGCCGGGCGCAAATAGAAAACCAATAGTGCATTTCTGCGCGGAAAGACAATGGCGGCCAGAATGCATTAAAATCCCCTCCGCGAGTTCGATTGGATTTTTCCTAATTTTCTTCTTTCTATTTTTTCGCTTTTTTCCTCGAACTTACCCGATCGATTTCGAGCACATTTCAATCGGTTAGAAAACCGATGCTTATTCTTGTTTAATTAAACGATAAGGGCAACGCATCACGTATCTAATGAAGTTCTATTTGACTAATCCCTATAAATCGATTGCAGTTTAATTGAGGATTTGTATACAGGGCCGGCTTAAGGCGATGCGAAGGTAGAATTAACACGAGTGCAAGAGAGTGCATCTTAATATTGTTATAGAAGAGCAAAGGAAGAGAGATTTTGAATTGTTTTAGATTCATTTAGAACTGACCTAAATTATTAAGAAGCGTTTTAGAGATGACTAGAGTCATTGGAAATAGTTCAGGACGATCTTAGAACCGTTCACTTCAAAATCATTTTAGTCCGATTCAGAACTATTTCGAACCCTTTAGGATAAACTAGAATAACATTTGGAACCATTCAAAACGCTTTCAGGACTATTTAGAACTGTTCTCGCTGCAATAATACGAATATAAGCGAAAATCTGGTGGAAAAAATGGAGTTTTCCCGGTGAGCTTTGAACGTGTAACATTAAATTATATTTTTCGCGACTTTTTTGAATGACAACGTAATAAAATAATGTCGAAAACTCCCGAGATTAAATCGAAAATGTCGGCGAAACTCGTTTAAAATTCAAGCATCTTGTCCAGGGATTCCGAACATCCGAATATTCCGCGAATTTTTTTTTGCATTTCGTTCGATTCGAAAAGTTTCATTAAAAAAAATTCGTTTTTTCCTATACCGGGTCGGCCCGCCGCGATGTGGACGTTGGAAAATAGTCCTGGAATGATTCTGAACTGGTTCTAGTTCATCCTAAATAGTTCTAAATGATTTAGAACAATTCTAAATAGTCTTCGAATGATTCTTGACAGTTCTAGGATAATTCTGGGCCCTGAAAAATAGTTCTGAATCGGATCTAAATGATTTTGAACAGTTCTACACAGTTCCTATTAGTCCTGAAATGATTCTGGACAATTCTAGTTCTTCCTAAACCGTTCCAAATAGTTCTGAATCATGGTGTATATAATTTTGAACAGTTCTAAAATAGTTCTGAAACTGTTATAAATATTTTTGGATAATTTTGAATGAACTGTCAAATAGTAACTAGTCTGTTTTAAAATTGTTCTAAACGGTTCAGGACAATTCCAAACGGTTCTAAGATCGTCCTAGATGTATTGAAATCGTTCTAGGATGATTCTATTCTGGATAGTTCTAAATAATATTGAACCAGTTTTCAACCAGTTTAAAACAGCGTTCCGACCCGGTATACGAACATATCGAGCGCACCGGGCGATTTTAAACAATCGTCGAATAAATTCCATTTCGATATCCGATAAATGCGAAATTAGATGCGAAACAGAAACTATTTTTCCGGTAAATTTAATGCGCGCAGACCGTTCGGTTCGCGTTCGATCGCCCGTTAAATATTTTTCGAGTGGAACGCGAGCGAAAAAACGAAAAAAAAAAGTTTTTTTTATTTTCTATTTTAATCCGGATAAATTTAAATTTCGTCCGAACGGAGTTGGAGTATACAGAGATCGAAATTGCATCTACTCGACAACACTTTCAGAAAAATCTTGTTTAGTAGGAGAAAAAGACGAAGAAATAAAGATGGGATGGAAAAAAAGGAGATTTTCTTCGTTAACAAGAAAACGGATTTTTAACTGCAGGATTATTTTTAATGACCAATTATGGATCTAACAAGGTTCATTCGCGCAATAGTTAGAGGATTAGAGGATTAATAATAATGGAGAAAATGATTTTTTCCGAATTAAATTGTTTATTTCACCGTATCGAAACTAATAAGATCTTCTCGATCTACAAATAGAACTCACTAATGACAAAAAAACTCTCAAAGTACATATACAGAGTCGGCTTAAGGAGGCGATCAGATAATAGAATATCTGACAGTGGTAATAAAGGAAGAGTAAAAGAGAGAGAAATGAAATATAATTGTGTACACAAATTTTTCAGGATAGATCATTTAAAACAGTTCAAATCGATTTAGAACTGACAAGGATCAGTCGATTAGAACTATTTAGAACTGATTCAGAACTATTTGGAACGATCGAGGATAAACTACAACAGCCCAAAATTATTTAGAACTGTGAAAAATTATTTAGACTGATTCAAAACTATTTTGAGACGATCTATGATAAACTAAAACAGTCCAAAATTTTTTAGAACTCTGAAAAAGCATTTAGAACTCATTCAAAACTATTTTGAGACGATCTATGATAAACTAAAACAGCCCAAAATTTTTTACAACTATGAAAAATCATTTTGAACTGATTAAAAACTATTTTGAGACGATCTGTGATAAACTAAAACAGCCCAAAATTTTTTAGAACTCTGAAAAATCATTTAGAACTGATTCAAAACTATTTGAGACGATCTAGGATAAACTAGAAC